CCCCACACACATGATCTCCCGTATAGGCGCAGCAGCACACGCATGGACCCAACAGCAGTAGCAGGCGCGAGACGCAACGCAAAGCAAGCGAGCAGGTACAGCAGCAGCAGCACGCTCGGAGCGCAGCAAGCCAGCAGGTGCAGACCCAGTAGCAACAGCAGGCGCGGGGCATGAAGCACGTGAGCAGACGCAGCAGCACGCGGGTGCGTAGGCGTCCGCGTGTGCGTCCAGATATCCGGACGCTAGCATGGCCCATAAAAAAAATGTGATTCACGTGGATTATTAGCCTAGTTGTCAAATTTGCCGCAGTTGTGGTAGCTTCACTAAAAAACAAAAGAACTATATTTGTCTGGAATAAACTTAGTTTGTTGCTTAAAAAAAGTTTCTTGCTCAAATTTGCCACATTTGTGGTAGCTAAAGAAACAAAAGAACTATATATGGCACCCGTAGTCATGGATGGGACAAACAAACCAACTCATCGCAAATACTGAGCTTGCACCAAAACTGAGGTCGCACGAAACGGCCGCACCAGTCCCCAAATCCTGAGATTGGAGGGCTATGGAAACAGATTCATGGATGCAGGATTAGCAACCAGAAAAATCAGCGACGTTAGGTAATCAAACTTACTCGAGTACCCCTACAGTTGTGAAATCATTTCAATTTATGAGTAGCCATCAGCCAAACACAAAAGAGAGAGAGATTGCAACATCTGGGAACCACAGCGTGGTGATGCCAGAAAACTGAAGAATGGGCCCCATGCATAGAAATAGGAGTCACTCTTCTTGTGCTGCAGTGGAAGCATCACTCTTGGGCCCATCATGTCCTGTGTTCTCTCTCCATTTTCTTCAGCATGCATGTCCCTTCTCCTGTTTTTGCTGTCTGTTGCATGAGTTGGAACCGCTGCCTACACTTTCATCGCTCCCAGTTTTTGGAGCACCACTCAAATTTGGCATCGCATGCTGCAGTGGTAGAAGTGATCCTTAAATACCCTCTCTCTTCTTTAGGCATCACTCAAGGCCAACACTGCGGAAGGCCTAATGCCTCTTCATGTACATCGATTCAGCAGTGGAGAGAAATGTAAGCATACCGGAGGTTTGAATAACTACTTTTTTCTGAATTAATTGGCGAGCCATCAAGATATGTTTATGCAAATTGCCTTTGGTGCTGAAAAGGTTTATCAATGTACATGAACAGGTGACCAAGTTCCTTATTTGTGCTTAGATATGCCACTATCCGGAATCTGTTGCCAGAAGCATGAAAAATGAATCCTGCCCTGGTTTTAAGTTGTATAGGTCTAATCACCTCAATAAAAATAATTCATCAAACAAACTTGGGGAATGGAGGTCAACACAAAGTTTTGTATTGAAATCTAGCAAAATCGTAATGCTACAAGATGTTCCCTTCCAAGATTGTATATGAATTTCTCTTGTCAGAAACCTACAGTTTAAGAGTCTAAGGGGCATACATCATGGATTTACAGGGAGATTCTAGGGTTCTCATGGATTTACAGGGAGATTCTAGGGTTCTCAGTGCTGCTATGGTTGTTGATCCTGCAGAGTAAAGGGCCTACCCAGAAGTTGAGGCTACCGTATTGCTCCAACCACATACAATGCAATTTCTTCAATTACAGCTATCAATAAGCTTGCTAAAATTGCCCTAAATCCCGGTTAATTAAACTTCACTAGCATGCTGTTTTGTTGAACGAGCCTTTCCGTAGCCATGCAAAGATATCTGGAATTGTCGGTTTGTGTCAGATTTATTTGATGCTTTCGACAAACGGACAGAGCAGCTCAGAAATCTTAGAAATTTAGTTACTTTCATGTAGTGTTTGGTTTAAATTATTGAATATTGAATTGTAACTTTGATCCTATTGCAGTGTTATCTAAATTAGAGTGGTCTGAAATTTTCTAGATAGTACCTGTTATCTAAATTATTAAATACTGAATTGTCACTTTGATCCTATTGCAGTGTCTGTCTGGAACCCTCCCTGCTGCTTTTCCGTTCGATTGATGCACTACTTTTTCGTTCAATTGAGAGCGATCCACATCTGAAGTATGGTCGTGGTAAAAAAAAATAGCATTGACTTACAACTGCTTATATGTGGTGATTTGCTTGGAATGATGCAGCCATGCTAATATTAGAATTCAGATTATGGAGCTTCCTGTCAGCGGGTGCTTGAGTCGTGAACTTGCAGTCGATTGTACACAAGTGGTTTCAGTTTTTTTTCTATGCTTTCCGAATCTGAGATTGTGACTTGGTAGTCGCATTATCATTTGGTCGGTGCATAGAAATTTGTTTAAGATTTGGAATGAGAAACCAAACAAATCTTGTCTAATGGAGTCAGTGAGAGGAGCACGCTAAGGCGGTGGTGCAGCGACTACACATTCAGCTTGAGGTGCGTGTGGCAGTGGTCAGGGCCAAAACAAATAGAAGAACAGGTATCCACGTTGTAATTGTCTAAACAACACATTATTACCGATTAATTTTCCTTACAACAGGAACTGAACTATCTTTTCGTTCTTTTTCACTTGTATAGTCTTTCTGTGATATTGTAGTGTCATCCTGCGTCTTCATGCTTAAAACATCTTATTTAGGACAACCTCAAAACGTAAGTTATTCGAGGACCGCAAAGAGTATGCCTTTGAGTTATTTGATTTGTTTGGTTATGTGCTACCGTAGCGTTAGCACGGACATTATACCAGTCTGGTAAGTAGTAAGCTCGTCCAGACCAAGGTAATAGAATGAATACAACAATCCAAACATGGGTGTTTCCACTATGTCTTAAAATGACACATGCGGGAGGTTTAACAGAAGTGAATAAACTCAGGGAGAATACCTGACTTCATTTCAATCAACTCAAATAAACTGAAACACGGCTGCCTATGCCACTAACAACCATTTAGACCACAGTAATTTGCACATAGTTTTGTGTATTTCCCAAGTCAATGAGCAATAGTTTTGTCTAAACAAGCTTACCAAGAATACCAAACAATGCAAGACTATATTCAAACTATACAGGTTCAACAGGACACAAAAGATTCCTGGCACTATATTTGGGGCAGCAGCAGCTATACTTCTTATAAATTCTACAACTTTCCCTACAGAAATGTTCAGCCTCCTGCCCCTTTCCTGTGGATTTGGGATTCAAATTGCTGTAACAAACTTGAAGTCTTCTCCTGGCTCATGATTATGGATAGGCTAAACACAAGGAATCTTCTCAAAAGGAAAAAACACAAGTTGGAGGGCAACAACTACAACTGTGTTCTCTGTAATCACAATGTTGACGAAACTGCTTTTCATCTCTTCTTCAGATGCCCTTTCAGTCAGGCCTGCTGGCATCACTTGAATATGCACCAGAACTTCCAAAGTGATTTCTTTCAAATGATGATGCAGTCAAAACAGCAATACCATAATCCCTTCTTCATGGAGATCTTCATCATTGCTGCCTGGCACATATGGAAGCAGCGAAACAACTTTATTTTTGACAGAGGACGGCCTTCTTTCTTCTCCTGGAAATGCTCCTTCTTAGACGAGGCTAGACTGCAAGCTCTTAGGATGTCTAAGGACAAACGCACTTCTTTCCTCCTTTGTATAGATCCCTTTTCTTAGTTTTCTAGCTGCCAAGTGGCTCTCTCAGCCTCTTGGGTGGTTTTTGTTGTGCTTGTTTCCCTGTACAGTTCTTACCTTTTTTTTTATTTATAAAATCTCATAGTGGGGGTTTCTCTTGCTGTATTTTACGCTCAAAAAAATAATAATAATATCTACACCCCCGCCCCCCAAACAAATAACAAATTAATTATTTTACCATGTGCACCAAGTTCAGTGACTATCACATGCAGAAATCATATAAGCAATCTTTGACAGCTTTCCCAACAGCCAGAGACAGCCAAGCCCACCCCAAAGGCAACAACAAGAGGTAGAATCACATCCCCTAATCCTGCCAAGGTAATCACAACAGTTACTAAGCTTCAGGACAGGAATTACTTTCAAATACATAAATTTACTGAAACAGAGACAAAATTATCAACGGGTAATAACACGAACGGGCTAAATTGTATCCCCAAATCCTCACAACTGTTCAACAGCATACCAATTCACTCAGCAAAGACCACTCATGCTTGGATCAACTGAAGCTAACACGGGGTAAGTAAAGATACAGGAGCAAGAATTGCTGCAAGAGAGGCAGAGTGGAGCTAAATTCTCACTATAGCTTGATGTGCTTCACAAGACTCAAATTAAAAGGATGGGCACATGCCAATACCGCAAAGACCAGGTGGATCAAATTCATTTCCACAGATTTTTATGTACTTCCTAGGCTAGACCCTGTTTGTTTTAGCTTGCACATTGTAGATTGTTACAATCTACAAGCTGGGGGGAAAGCAAATTGTTGGATTGTAACAATCTGGCCTATGGATTGTTGCAATCTGAGATCTATTTGTTTCAGTTTGTAAGTTGCACTCTGCAAGCTAAAACAAACAGGACTTAGTAAGCATTGATAAAATTTAAGTATGCTCTCTAATACCACCATCTATCTACCTCCATGACATTCTTGATGATAAATGTGCACCGAATTCACATGTGGAGCACACCAGGTAAATCTCGATACAAAGATCATATGAACAAAACAAACATTGAAATCTTCCCCAACAGGCAGCCAATGAGCCAAACGAACCCCATTACTTACCATGTGAGGCAACAAAGTCACAAACCCCAATCCTGACAAGCCAAGATACACAAACACGATGACACAAAAAATAACAAGTTCAGAGCAGAAGTCACTTTAATATTCATAAATTCACCGAAATGGCGATGAAATTCTCACCAAACAACATCAAGAGGTGAATTGTATCATCGAATCCTCATAACTGTGCAACAGCATACAGCGTTTATTCAACCAAGGCCATAGAGTGCCCAGATCAAGTACTGAAGCTAGCACGAGGTCAGGAAAGAAAAAGGCGCAACGGTTGCGAAAAGAGAGACGGAGTGGAGCTGGATCCTCACTACAGCTTGTACTTGTAGCGCGCGACCTCGGCGTCGTTGGGGAAGAATCCCATTAGGCGGCCGGCGGAGTTCTGGTAGGCGTACATGAACCCTCCCATGACCCCGATGAGCCCGCCCGTGACCATCGACGGGCCCCGGATCCCCGGCTTGATCCCTGCACGACAAGCGCGGGTCTGAGCTACCGATGGGGGGATGAAGTGAGAGATAAGGTTTGGGAGGGGGAGGCGAACCGGAGAGGTAGCCAACGGTGACGGAGATGGCGGAGATAGTGGAGAGGCGCATGTAGTCGAGCGCGGAGAAGTTGCCGACCACCTTGGTGAAGGCCGGGTTCCGATCCACCACCGGGTACTCCGGCTTCGTCGACGCGGTGATGTCCGTGTTCATCGCGTGGAGCAGCGCGGCGCGGATCCCTCCGGTGATGCTGGCTGCGGCGGCGGCGGAAACGGCAGATTTGGTCGCGAGCAGGAGCTGGATGGGAGCGTTGTGGCCTACGGGATAGGGCTCAGATATCATCTCATCGGTTGCCGCTGCAATTTTACCAGCCAAGACCGAAAACAGATAAAAAAAAATACCACTTTTGCTCACGTGGCACATCAGCCCTCACATCAGCAGGGATCAAGTTAGTGTACGAACGTCAAATGTCTCTCCTGTCCCTTGCTCTCTCTGCTCGAACGCACAATCGCCATGGCCATGGCCCGTATCCGCGCCATCTCCACCCCAACCGCGTGCACCGTCTCATTCGCCTCGTCCTCCTCTCCGCCCGACGCACCTCTCGCCGAAGCTGGAGACCACGGAGCGACTTGAGTCGGGGTCGTCGCCGCTGCACGCGCTACACAGTAGCTAGCCGGTCGCGTGCGCACCGACTGCCATGGCCGCGAGCCTCAAGCTTGGCCACCGCTGCCGATTCATCGACTTGCGCGCTTGGGTGAGAGCCAAGCAGCGCCTCGACTTCGCCGCTTAGCCACCTTGCCATGGCGCACGCTCGCCTGAACCCGCGCGCTAGGAACCACCGCGACCCCGTTGTTGCCGACGTGCACGTCCGCGTAGCGGTAATGACGCAAGCGATTGAGCCCCCTACGGGCCCACCTCCGCCTACCACGAGGTCGCTAGCGGCATCAGTATCGCTAATGATGACGCCGCCGCCACCGCTGAAGACGCCGAAGCACTTCGGCGCTAGGCCACGCGGCCGCGCGCCGCGCCGCCAGCAGCGCGTGGTCGGGTCGCTTTGGCCACCTTCGACCGAGCCACCCCAAAGCGGGGTGGGTCATTGACGTCCGTTACACGGTACCGTGACGTCTGCGTACACCGGCGAGGCCTTCGCCGTCAAGTCCATGGACCGGCCGCAATCGCCGACGACCTCGATCGCGAAGCTTCGCGAGCTGGAGCCGGAAGCCGGCGTAGCTTCGGCTGTGGCGACCCGGCGTGATCTGACGCACGCGATGTACGAGGACGCAGGCGTGGACCCACACGGTGATGGACTGCACGCGCCCGGACACGCTTTCGAGTGGTTGGGCCTCGCCGCATGGGCGCGCGTCTGCGGCGCCAAGCGGCGCCGCCATCGTGGCGCATCGCGGCGCAGCGCCGCGCTTACCACCGCCGTGGGTCGCCCCACCTTCCTGGCATGGGTTCGCTGGCATAGCCGCGGGCTACGCCCATGTGGGCCGAGTCCAATCGCTCCCGGTGGGTCGGACGCATGAGCCACCCAAGACTCGCTTCTGTGGGTGATGATGCGCCGGACATTGTCGCTCAACGACCCGGACCCGCAGACTGAGAGGGTTCGCCCGGCGCGCATGGGCGAGGCGGGGGCTCATGGTCCCGTGGTGCTTTCTCCCCGCCGCTGCCGTCGGTGGCGGCCTCTCATGCACCGTGGGTGGAACTCCATCCTAGAGAGTGCGTGGGTGGGGCGGGCCCATCTTGTGCTTCCGCCGCACGGACGGATCACCAACCGGTGCCTCATCTTGCGGGAGTGGGTGCGGCGTGTCCATCGGGGATCATGGCGCTTGTCTTGTGCCGACGAAAGTGAAGTGGCGCGGATCGAAGGGGTGATGGGCGGGAAGCGGCGTCAAGCTCGGGGGCAGTGTGAAGAAGCCGAGGGCACACTCGAGGTCGCCGTGGCGCCCGGTGGCTCGTCATGGCGCGGCTTCGACGAAGTTTGTGGGACGAGCTCAAAGCCGCGCGAGGAGGCGACCATCGATCCGAAGCTCACGGGCACGAAGCCGCGAGACTGGGTCATGAGCCTTGGCACCGCCAGGTGCGAGCTGCCGAGGCACGGTGTTGGTGTGCGCCGTCAGCCGGCAGGCGGCAACAGCAACAATGCCACCACCACTGGCGAGAGCACCGCCGCGCCGCGGGCATGAGGTGCCGCTACTGCAGTGCTCAGGGCTACCATCAGGTGTGTATTTGGTATGAGTTGTTGCATGGGCGCCAGAGAGCACGGGCGAAAATGCCAGCTGCGTGGGTGGAGAGGAAAAGGGCAGGAGGGACATTTCACACGCCCCGTTGACTTGAATCCACGCTGGCATGAAGAGCTGGTGTGCCACGTAAGAAAAAGTGGTAAATTTGTAGTTGTTTTCTCTTTGTGCTGGTGAAAATGTATTGGCATCCGTTAAAGTGCTATTTGAGGAGGTGCCATTTGTTATAATGGTAAAAAGTTAAATCTCCCCGGATAGGTCCTCCTCGGCTCAGTGCCTCAGTGGGCCTAACGAAATAAGCCGGAACGGGCCAAGCCCATCATTTCAGTAAATGGGCTAAAGCCATCCTTGTAGATTGACGTAGGAACCGGCCCATGACTGAATATGGACTTACATGGGCCAGATCCCTGGTGACCGTAAATGGTCTGGCCTCGCAACTTCCGTCGATGGGCTAGACTGGTCACCCTTGTTAATGACGTAAGAGGCCCACAGCAAGATGAAGCCCGGTCCATGACAGCATCATCGGAGTTTCCAAAGCCATCCTCGGTTCCTCGCCTCGCTTTCTCCGCCCTCCTCACTGCTTTCCACCCCCATATACCCAGGCCAACCAGCCAAAGCCCCCTCCCATCGCCTCCGACCTCGAGCACTCCTCTCCTCCAATGGCGACGGCCCCCGCACCCCTGTCGCTCTCCGCCTCCACCCTGCCCGCGCGGCTCCGTGCCGGAGCGGTGCCGGCGGGCGCGCGCTGGAGGCAGGCGCGGCGCGGGCGGATGGTGGTGCGCGCCAAGATCCGGGAGATCTTCATGCCGGCGCTCAGCTCCACCATGACGGAGGGAAAGATAGTCTCCTGGTCCGCCGGCGAGGGCGACCGCGTCTCCAAGGGCGACGCCGTCGTGGTCGTCGAGTCCGACAAGGCCGACATGGACGTCGAGACCTTCCACGACGGCATCGTGGCGGCGGTCCTCGTCCAGGCCGGCGAGTCTGCGCCGGTGGGCGCCCCCATCGCGCTGCTCGCGGAGTCGGAGGAGGAGGTGCCGCTCGCGCTCGCCAAGGCTCAGGAGCTCTCCAACGGGCAGCCGCAGCAGGCGCCACCTGCTCCAACGGAGGATGCCGCAGCGCCGCCGCCTCCTCCTCCGGCTCCGGCGGCTGCTCCCGCGCCGGTGGCCGCGGGGACGAAGGGCATCGCCAGCCCGCACGCTAAGAAGCTGGCTAAGCAGCACAGGGTGGACCTTGCCAAGGTGACTGGCACCGGGCCGTACGGTCGAATTACGTCGGCAGATGTTGAGGCGGCTGCCGGAATCCAGCCCAAGTCAAAGCCCGCTCCTGCTGCTGCTGCACCACCACCTGTGGCTGCGCCTTCAGTGGGTGCGGTGCCTCAGGCGGCAGTGCTACCGCCGGTTCCTGGCGCGACTGTTGTTCCATTCACTACCATGCAGGCTGCAGTGAGCAAGAACATGGTGGAGAGCCTGGCAGTGCCAGCATTCCGTGTTGGGTACCCAATTGTAACCGATAAGCTCGATGAGCTGTATGAAAAGGTGAGGACTTGAAGCAGGGCTTGACTGCACTTGAAGCTCCTTTGTTTTTCTTACCCTGCTTCCTGATTATTAGACTGATTTGATTTTGACAGGTTAAGCCAAAGGGAGTGACAATGACAGTGCTGCTGGCGAAGGCTGCAGCCATGGCTCTTGCACAGCACCCTGTTGTCAATGCTAGCTGCAGGGATGGAAAGAGCTTCACATACAACAGTAACATCAACATTGCAGTGGCTGTGGCAATCGATGGTGGCCTTATTACACCTGTCCTTCAGGATGCTGACAAGGTACAACCTATCTTTTGTGATAAATTTGGCTCCACTTTGCAGTTTTAGCAAACAAGTTCACCAAACAGCTTGTTGATTGTTACACTGTAGCTGGATATATATTTGCTCTCACAAAATTGGAAGGATCTAGTCAAGAAAGCACGTGCAAAACAGCTCCAACCAAATGAGTACAGCTCTGGTATGGAACTCATTGCATTGCATAGTGTATTAGATTGCCTTTGCGAATTTTATGTGGACATGCTTACCTGAAGATTTTGTTATTTGCAGGGACTTTTACACTGTCCAACCTGGGTATGTTTGCTGTAGATCGGTTTGATGCGATCCTTCCGCCTGGTCAGGTGGGCTTAATTCCCTTTCTTCCTAGTCTATATAAATCGTAATACATATGCTTCACTTATGTATGAGGGTTAATATTTGAGTATCAATGAGTGCAGGGAGCTATTATGGCGGTTGGAGCCTCCAAACCTACAGTCGTAGCTGATAAAGATGGTTTCTTTAGCGTCAAGAGCAAAATGCTGGTTAGTTATGCACCTGTGTTTAAGACATCTGTTGTTTGCATATAATGTTTCAGTATGGTAAAATGTGAATAGTTCTACATCCTGCTAGTTTTAAAATGTATTCATGACATGTAGTTGTTTTGTTGAAGAGTTTGTCAGATATATCATGTGAAGTGTGCTGCATGGTTTAATTCCAAGAGTTAATTACGAGGATAAGATGCCCAATAGTATTGCATAATTACAGACTTACAGTTATTGTCTATATAACTACTCATTCTGTTTCAGAGTGTGGTTGTTCTAGTTTTGCCCTAAGTGAAACTTATCTACCTTTGACCAAATTTATATAAAAAAATGTACTAACATCTACAACATCAATTTAGTTTCATTAAATTCACCATGGAATATGTATTGATAATGCATTTATTCGATATTGTAGATGTTAATATATTTTTCTGTAAGCCTGGTCATAGTTGGAGAAGTTTGACATAAGACAATACTAAATGACTTAGATTTTGAAACAGAGGGAGTAGATGTTATTCTATGGTTCTGTCTAAATCATAGAAATAGATTTGCTGGCCTAAAATGAGTAATTTTGCAATGGAAAATATACAATTCATCGGTACCAAGCACCACAACTTATACCTCACTAGTCATCAAAGTCCGTTTGAGTTGTTTATATTGTTGGTTTTATTGTGTGGATGTATCGCTGGTGCTGCCAGTTAGGAGTTAGGGCCTCTTTGGTTGGTTGCCACTTAGAATGTGTCAGCAATAGTTCTTGTGTTGAACAGATTATTCAGGACAATACTGGCAATATTTCGATAGAAACTGTGGCTATGGTATAGTGGACATAGAGTATGAAATTATAGCATCAGGGGATTTGTATTTAACTAAGCTGTTTCAACATTTCTTTTTGTAGGTCAATGTCACTGCTGATCACAGGATTGTATATGGTGCTGATTTGGCAGCATTCCTTCAAACTTTTGCAAAGATTCTTGAGGATCCTGAGAGCTTAACTTTGTAAGATCTCTTGAAGAGTTATGATCTTATCTATATGCCCATAAGTAGTCTGATTGCAGTTGGAGTTCTATTCTCGATCTCCAATTTTTGTATCTTGAGCATTCAACAGGATTTGTCTGATCTTTTTGTACCGGTTCCTATCTCTCAATGTTGTGGGTCTTGTTGGAGAGATTATACTGTTGATATTATGGAATTGTTGGAGAGCAATAAGTGATAAACTGTAGAATAGTTCTGCAGATTTTATCTCTAAAATATGGTTTATATCCCTTTTTCATTTATCTTCTGGGAAGTATATTTTCTTGAAATTTGTAAAGTGGTAGAGATCCCATCCTCCCTGAATATATCTTGGGAAATTTCCTCGTTGCCCTTAGACTGGCATGTAAATGGACATGTACTGTTTTGTCGTGTACTGGCACAGTGGCCCGGGCCTGCTGTCTTTGGAGTTTGAAATTTTTAAAGATTATTAGCAAAACGAAAACATACAAGAGTACATGTTTGGCAGTTACCAGTAACTACAGGAGTATATAGGACCCTCCAAAACAATAACATGATCAGCATTAAGTTGTGAGTGTATTCAACAAATTGAAAACCATGCAATCTAAACACACCATCATTCTAATACAATTCTGCACGTGTACAAACTATCCGTAACTGATACAAACCCATCTCAAGCTAATAACTATACACACATTCACACAAAAAAGTTAATTTGTTAATGTCCAACTGGTTAATGTGAAGTCTGATCATTGAACGTATTCACCTGAGCGGAAGGACTATGTTTCAGAGGTTGGATGTGCTTTGTACCCCTCATGTCTCGGCACACCCTATCTAGCAAACCAAGAAAATCTCTCATGATGACAAATATATGGAGGAGGTTTGACTCATTCTTGCCAACCTCTCCATGATAATACTCTGTGAGTTCTCTGACCTGCTGTAGGACCTCGGCTTCATCAACCTTGAGTTCCTGCATGGTATTCTCTGCATGAGTTTGGAATGATCTCATGCACTGCAGGAAGTTCTGGTTCCTGTCATTGCAGGTAAGCTCCTTCCCGACAAGCCTTATCAGTTGAGCCAGTCCATGTGATAGATTTGAGATTGAGCTTTTCAAGGTATCTAAATCTATACTTGCTACCTTCTTGACATTGCCAAGCTCATTACTTAACTCTGTAACAAATTCTGTACCTATTTCTGGATACTCTTCTCTTTCTGCCAGTTGACAAGATCCAGAAGTTCCACTGAGCTTATCCGAAGCCTTTGATCCTTGTAGTCGCTCCATCTCTTGGACAACAAAATGCAGGAGGGTTGTCTTCCCGTCAGCTCCACGTATATCTGACAGTTTCAGCAGTGCGTCAAGTCTGAAAGCACTTGCCCCTCCTCTTATAGTTCCAACATTCATTCTGTTTCCAGTCTTGAGTACCGCTTCAAGTAATCTTAAAAACAATTTGCTGGACCTGAGTTCACTGCAGGCTCCCTGTAAACAAAGAAATAGTTGTAGCTTCAACAGAATGTTTCTATCTTCTAAATTAATTGAATAGCTCTACTTACTTTAATCAGTGCAAAGGACATCCTGAGATGGGCAACTTCATCATCAAAAGTTTCCTTGTACAGCATTGCCTCAATTCTTGAAAATGACATTGGTATTGTCAGTAGCACCTTAACAAAGTTCTCTGCTGGATCTAACATGTTGATGTCCCCATCATAATCAAGTAGCTTTTTCTCCTCTTCCTCGGATGGTTTCATCTTGACCAGCGCTTCTAGTTGTTGTGTGGACAGTCCAGTACCTGTGATTGTCAAGACAGGACAGTAGGTTCATCTGGCCTTCATTTACTTGGTAAGCTTAAATCCAAATGCAGCAAGATATACCTTCTGTTATAGAAATGCAGACTTGTTCAGTGCTAGCATTTAAGGTCTTCAAGAGTATTGTAGTATTTTGAAGTTTGTGGTGCTCAATGACATGTTTGCTGGTAGCTAAAGTCTTGCTCTTGGGGTCCTCATTTTTTGCTTGCCCTTGAAAATTGTATGCAAACAATGACTTGATCATCTGTTCATCAAATCTGCATAATGTATGCTTTTGTTAGATGTAATAATAGGAAATGAAATGACAATGTAGCAAGGGGAATCATTTTGTGGCTTACTCAAACTCAAAGGAACTTGACTGAATGTCATTCCACACCATTGAGAGGTTTGGAGCTGCCCTTACTTTGTCCCAGTGCAGAGGTTTCAACCTTGGAAGTGGTAACCCATCTTTGCCAACTTGTAACTGGATCGGTAATGGAGGTGGCAATGGAGGCTGGCCAGAGTTCTTCCCTTTAAGACTTGAAGTAGGTTTAATTGGCGGTGGAGGGGGTGGTGGTGATTTCGATATACTTATTGCTCCAGATGGTTTGAACTTGGCTTCTTCAGCTGAGTTCCGTATTGATTCCTTTGGATCCAAATTAATGTCTGTATTTGACACCAAATTAATGTCTGTATTTGACACCCTGAATGCTGAGTTTGTTTCGGAGGGTGTGGTCTCTGTAGCATAGGAAGTAGACTTATATCCTGACGATAGATGACTGAGCTTTGCATTGACCTGCTCTACTTTTGGAGCTTCAGGATGTCCCATGGATCCTGAATTGTTAGTAGCCGTTGCAGTTTTTTGGTGGCTTACTCCAGTTTTCTCCTCGTCTGGATTTTCTGGAAGATGGCAAATGGCATTAAGCACATGGGTGTGATCGGGAGCTGTGAAAGGTGGAATCTTTGGGCAGAAGGGAGATCTACAATCTGGTGATAGTGATTGATATGATGAACTAGAAGGTGAATCGTCCCTGTGTCGAGAAGATGGAGACAGATCTGTGATAGGTTTATCACAAATTTGCAGTGGCGACTCTGTAATGGAGCCACCTGATGAACGAGAACAGGACAATGAATGGAAAGAATCAGCTTCATCAGACTGCATGTTGGTGCTGGTTTTCACAGCATAATCGCTTATGATTAACTCTGCACTTTTTGATGTAGTGGGAAGCACGGATAAGTTCTTAGATTCTGAAGATTCTAAGCTCATAGATTTTGAAGATTCTGTGAGGATTGGATAGTCCCGGCATTGCACAGCAGAACCCGGGCTGGGATGCGAACTAACCTTGATGGTAGCACAAGTTGACCTGTGAGCTCTTGATCCATGGGGAAATAGCTTGAAAGGCTTTTTCTGAAGCTTCCTTGATCTTCTGAGTGAGGCTGCTGCTGCCATTGCAACTCCGAGAACAAGCAGACATGCTCCAGCCACAGCCAGGGCGACAATGGCGGCTGTTGGGAGCCTGGCGTGACCTCCACCTCCCAGTTTGCGTGCCACGCTCCTCGCTGGGGCAGTGTGTCTGTGGTTTCTGAGTGGCATACTTCTATGGCTTTCATGGGGAAGAGGAGGAGCAGGAGTCGGAGCAGCTCTTGCTTCATGAACCTGAACCGGCGCCGGTGCCGGAGCTGGAGCTGCAGAACTCTTTTGATGGCTCCGGTGTGGGTGTCGCGGCGGCCGATGACGATCCAGGCTTACCAGCATCCTGAACCTGGAGAGGAAACCAGAACCGGCATCACGGGTCACTGCCACGGCACTGACCTCGCCGCAGCCATGGCTCACACGGCGGAGAGCCCCCTCCAGGTCCAGGACCTCGAAGCTGAGCAAGAGGAGCACAAGGGAGGCGGTGAGGAGGAAGACACGCTTCACCACCAGCCCCATTTTTCGCTGCTGATCATGAGTCAGCTAGAGAGGGGGAGAAGCTCTCCTTGTCGCACGACGAGCTCTCAATGGTTGTGGCAAAAGGAGGAACAGGACTGGGAGTACGTGTGTGCGGACGGACTCATCACATTTGCTGCTGTCCGGAACGTAAGCTGGCCAGCGAACGGTGAGCTCGTTCGTTGTTCTCTCTGCTCTGCTGCCCATCCACCTCTGCAGGCTTTAACGCCACTCCAAGGAAACCCTGGCTTTACCATGCGCGGCTGGTGCTGGTGCTGGTGCCTGCCAAGAGGTAGCAGGGTACGTGCCACCTTCTCGCCAGGTTATGTACAGTACAGGTACAGCGCCTTCTTTTCAGCTTCTTTTGCATGTCTCACTTACCACCGCTGGCTTTTTGGTCCGGTGCTATGGTTTGGTGGGCAGTGGGCACCAATCTTAACTTGGTGATGAACCTCGTCTCCGCGACAAAATTGCTGAAAGATTGCGGCAATGGTTCTCTTGATACCACGCTGTCATTGTCATCATCATCATCATCATCGGTACCAAATCCATTATCGGCTACTTTGTGTCCTGTTAACTGTTAATAATCTGTCAGTACCTTGTTGAAGTAAGTTGGTGATGTATAGATCCTTCCCTTCTGTTGTGTATGGTTGGCGCTGCTTGTCCTTCCGGAGGCTGCACTGCACTCGAAGGCAGCCCTGCTGCTCTTACGTTTGTCGGGGTTACCTTGTTTGGACTGGATGCCTTAGAAGGCTGGGCACCAAGCATGTGCAGGTTCAGAAGACTAGCCAGATGCTGCAGGGTGCAGACCATTTGCTTCGTGTTTGTTTGCGAGACCATGAGTCCATATAAGTGTTAGCGCCTGGGTTCTGTGTGTGATTTCGTCCTCGTGGTTGGCTAGTTGAGACTTGAGAGCTCAGTGCTGGTAGCGTTGTTGGTTCCGTTGTACTAGTACGAGCTGTACTCTTAAGGTGTGCTGAAGCCTGCTCTTTGCCCCAGGACCCAGGTAGTATGGCAAAGGAAGAAATCAAGAAAGGGACGGTGAACCACCAAACTTGCGGCGAAGAGGGGCGTGAACACCTTCATCAAACCGAGCGAAACACTTGCTGCCGCACCGTATTCAAGGATAATCTATCGGTCATATCTGTTTCGAACAGAGATTTTATGTAACATTCGCGCTACATTAGAGCCCGGTCGAGAGGCAAATGTGTGCCTGCGTCCTGTCCTACTGTCCTAGGGCGTCTCCTTTCCTTTCAGGACGGCTGCTGGCCGCCGCCGTCGGACCCCGCCGGTGGTTCGCCCTCGCCTCCAGCCCCCGTGTCGACCTCCTTGATCTCGAGTATCTCGACGCGGCGGTTGGTCCTCTTGCGGAGCTTGATGGCCACGTCCTGCGGCACGAAGGCGCCGCAGACGCTCACCCGGTGCTGCTTCCGGTCGATCAGGTGGCTCTCCAGGTCTTGCATGTGGAGGAGCGCTCTCCTGATCCTCTGGTAGCACCCGTTGCAGTCGATGTTCATCCTCACCGTCATGCAGTAGAGCTGCTGCACCCACGTCACAAAACAAACACCAGTCACTCCACGGTGGTTCTAGCTCAGGATCACGGCAGCAAAGAACCGTTGGCCACCGCGGTGGTTACCTTGCCGCTCATCAATCTCCCTGCTGCTCGACCACGACCAGCGGCGGTGGTCCTGATCCTGAAGGCAGGAGGAGCCCGCCCCTTTTCAAGGGCAGGGCCGCAGGGTGCAAGTGGGCGGGCAGCTGGGTCCTGGACTCCTGGGTGGGGCTAAGGGGATTTCGATCGATACCTAGCTTTTGTGCCGTGTCAAGGCCAGGCATCGTCTTCTCATCGAGTAGAATCAGATTCTGGTCCAACCACGCAGGCTGCCTCTGGATGCCCGGTATGGCATTTTCCTTTCCTCTGCCCAGTGCCCGACTTGTGACGATGCTTTGGACACAGCCTCTGTCGAGATGGACGCTTGGATGCCTTTATCGGACTGCACATGGAAACGCGATGTGAACATCAATTAGCACTGCACGGCCGGAGAAGACCAGAAGTTACTAAATTTGTCATGCGTGATTGCGTGTCGTTAACTTGACCGTCAAGAGATGGAGCAGCAGCAACGGCGTCCAGCGGCAGTAAGGTAGGCAGGCAGTAGGCTACCAGTAACGCCAGCAAAGCCAAACCTGTCAAAGCCTACCATTTCCATAATATATCCAAGGTAGAGTTAGATTCTCCAAACCAATCAATCATCACCGTTTTTCAACGATAGGGATTCTTCACACCAACCAATTACACCATTTTCCTACAGGCAACAACAGCATGCCACATGCTACCGCACAATTCACATTTCACAACCGTTCCGGGGGTGGTGGTACATATACAAGCACGCACAGTAAAGTCCACCACGATGAGAAAACAGAATCCAACAGGTACAGCTTTGATATTTAAAAGAACACAGAAATAGGCAACAAGCAGCTATTTTGTGACATTTCACCGAGTTCAGTAGATGATAACTATGTAAAGTTCAGTAGATGATAACTATATAAGGCACGCCACCGCTACAAGACTGGATGAACAAACAAAACAACAAAGACTAGGATTGCCAAAAGAAAAACTGAAAGCTCTAAAACCAGAAACCAAACTGGGCCTTCTTCCTCTCCTAGAAGATGTTAACAAAGCTATCAACCCTAGAAATTATAGGGACCAGATAAAAAACTTATCTAGGTCAGTCATACATACAAACTGTATACTGGTTCTTGGTGACACATCTTCACATCCAACTGACTACAGTTGATGAGCCTTGAAAAAAACTGTCAAAACCTGGATCTGGGTTGTGCTGGCAAAAATAACCTGGGGATGCACAAAACCTACATCTCGCCAAGGCCGATGTAACTCCAGAAAGTAAGAAGCTAACATGTTAACCCCTTCAACCGGTGCTGCTGAATTGGCTTTCACCTGGACATCACAAGATTGGGAACCTGCACAGGCACACCCATAAAAGGCTCCTCTCCACTGTTCTTGCATGCCTCCTCGTCGGGCACTAGATTAAGTTGACCAAAGCTTCCACTGGGGCTGGACAAGTCCATGTCCCCACTGCTGCTTCCGCTGCTAGTGTCAGAATGCTTTCTTGAGCCAGATCTTCTGCTCCTCTTTCTTGGCATCCACCTCAAGTTATCTAACTTCAGATCATTAGTCAGGTCGGCAAGGACACGTTTCTGATCTCGTGAGATAGTGCAGACTGAAGATTTCTCAATACCCCTCTTGTCATATCGAAGTCCCTCTAGTTGAGCTTCTGGTTTTGGAGGGACAGTAAAATTCAGCTGATCTTGTTTCCCAATCAAATATTTACTTCCATCTGAGGTGGAGGTCAGCTGGCTTGCGATATCTTTTCTTCCCTTCAAAGGACTCCATTTGTTACCAACCCACTCAAGGGAACACCTCAGCTCATCTTCACCAAATTCAGCGATTCGTTTTTCTCCTGTGATGAATGACAAAAAAAAAAGGTAAGGTACTGTGTTTTCATTAATACACTAATTGTTCACAAAACACACAGCATAAAAGAACTGCACATAATCACAGGAAGTGAAGTTACCTGGAAAATAAACTTGTAGAAGCCCGCTGCCTCGATGGCACAACACTATTCCCTCCCACCAGCCACCATGCCACCACGCATCAACAATGGCTCCAACATCAAAGCACGAGGCCTTACTTTCTTCCACGTGCTGTGGACGAACCATTGGCCTTCCAAGGAAACGTATACCCAGTTGATCAGGTTTGGCAACTCGTGTTAGCATAACCCACTCCTGCAAGCATCATATTAGGTCAAACTCCAGTTCTAAAATCCAATGGCATGAAACAAAAGGAAATAAATTAAGAGAACTGAACATAACACACCTCCAAGTTTCCAGTCTCGTCAGCATCCTGAAGTTCTAGGTAGCGCACCTTGATTTTATCTTTATGCCTCTTCAGAATCAAACATCTAAACCAACATCCCCTTATACCACTATCTTGAGATAGTACTTCCACATGGCAACCAGGACACAAGTGTTTGATGTTCTCACCATAAAACCTAGAAGTAGAAGCACCAGAACAAATGGCCTTCTGTGGATTAGCATCATTGTTGAGTGCATCACGCTTCCTCTTCAGCCCTCCATCTGAACTGGGTCCGGATTTAGGGACCTTGAAACGCACCTTCAGAGAGGAAGTTGCGTTGAACATGGTCCTAAGTACTTCCTGGCTCCAGTAGCCTTGCAGCTGTGTGACATCAAAAGGCTTGACTTCACCATTATCAATCTGCCGACAGCAAAAATAAGGTTGCCACAAGCTGCATCTGGTATCACTCTTGAACTTCTCGTAGTGCTGGGCACTCAGGACTGCAGCCAATCCATCAATGCATTCTACATTGAGATCTTGACGGCCCAGAGAAAAGAATATCTCTGTGTCATCGAAATCCATGGGCAACGAAACACCAACCTCGTCAACTTTGTCGAACCATTGTACCTTGACCATATTGCATGAATTTGTATCCTCATAGAGATCTTCCACATAAGCAATAAGTCTCTTCATCTCTTCACTCATGATGTATACAAAACTATGCACCTATAAGTATAGTAGGAATGTATCAGCTAAGGTTCAACCTTCAAAAGTTTACTACACAAATAATATTGGCACTCGATCTTCATCTACTTTTAACTATGTATTTCTATGAAGCCAAAAGGTTCCTTAATATCATCTCGAAGTAGGAATAATGAAAAAAAAATATTTGTCAAAGTAAAAGAAACCTATTTTCAACAAAATATATCCACTTCTATCTCATGAAACTGTCCAAGTAATATTCAAGGACAGTGGCATTTTTTTTTCTGGGGGCTCAGTTTCATGTCTGCCTAGGTATGGTATTTGTAATGTAAGTGTTATACTTGATTGACAACGAGCAAGGAATAGAGGTGCACATAGCTAAAAAGACAATGAAAGTAGCCAGCGACAGCAAGTGGGCATACCGAGATAGTAATTCCTCGACGGCAGAAAGATTTGTAGTGCTTCAAACGTTGTTGGCAATGCCAGGGAGCTTCCAACCATGTGAAATCATTCGAAGCTTCCCTAGAAGAAACATCCTGAACAGGCATAATAGAAAATGCATTAGAGGAGAATTATCAATGGTGCTTCCAAGACATAAGAAACGCAAGATGATATACGAAAACATTTCTGTACCTTCGAAGCAGTAACTTGAGTGCAGTTAATTACACTGTCATCATATGAATCCCCATTGCACCTATTAGCCATTGAGGAGGAACCATAATTATAACCTGCAAATGAAGCATTCACAATAAGAAAATCGCCAAGGAAACCTTTAATGGAAACCGTAGCAAGTAGACAATTCTACACATAGGCAAAAGCAACACAGCAAAACAAAACGAAGAACTAAAAGAAACAAAACAGAAGAGAAGGAATGATGACAATCACAAATCATCACTGCAAACAGCAAACAAGTTGTACAATGCATTTACTTGAGAATAACTTCTCGCGATTTGGGTACAATCTGATCATATTTACATATCCAAATATCCGATAGATTTCCCACTTCATTATATTATATTAAAGCTTTGAGCACAAAGCCAGACAAATCATTTCCACCGGAATATGTTGATTTATTTGCACTAGAATTTGTTGCTTTTCAAAGAAATCAAGGCTTTCTTTTGCATTAACATTCAGTGTACAGTCAAAGTACACACTATATGGACTTGTGGATCCGCTCCATAGAGGCATCAGGGGAGGCCGTAACAAGGGAAGATCAAAACAGCACCTGATTGAGTATACATTCATGCTGCTGCTTCGCTTATCTCTATTCCCAAATGCCAAGGTTACGCAAATGGCCCAAAGGAAGCCAGCAGCTGCTTCCACTGAGACACACCTGTATTCTCCATATTCCTATGGAAAAGGAGAAGGCATGAGTTTCGCAGGCAACCAAATTATTACTGAACAAACCGGGCGAGATTTCCTAGAAGAACCGTAAAGCAACCCAAAACCAATTTGACTAAACAGAAACTCAGCCAATGAACAGCTAACGAAACACACGGAAATGTCAACTAAGAGACATACGTCCTGGTCTATTCCAGAAGCAGCCTTCCTGAACATCAGAAAGAGAGGGCGAAATGCACTACCTCAGTTGCTGAACAAATTTGGTGAAACAAAATACCATAGTGGAGGAATCCTCTAATGGTCCAACCGCAAAATGGAAAAATACGATGATGACGGTTTTTCTTGCCAATCAGGCTAGACACGGCAGGAAATGGAAGTAAAGCACCGGTGTTAAATACCATAGTGGAGGAATCCTCTAATGGTCTAACCGCGAAATGGAAAAATACGATGAAGACGGTTTTTCTTGCCAATCAGGCTAGACACGGCAGGAAATGGAAGTAAAGCACCCGTGTTTCGCAGCCGCGGCTCCCTCCAACAGCCAAATGGAAACATACGAGGAAGGAAACACCTCTGCTTGCCAAATATGGCTAGACACGGTGCCTCTTCTAGCCAAATAAGGCTAGACACAGCAGGACATGGAAGTAAAGCATCAGTGTCTCCAGCCGCCCCTATTACAGAATCCCCAAACAGCGAAATAGAAAAATACGAGAAAGATTACGGTTTTCCTTGCCCAAATCAGGCTAGACACAGCAGGAAATGAAAGCAAAGCATCCGCGTTCCTTAACCGAAACCTAATCCTAATCCTAGGTTTCCTAGAAGCTGCAGGCGCCTAAAGATGAGAAAACATATAGTTCCGTATAGATATCGGGTCCATAGAACAGCAGATTCGCTCAGCGCGTCAAGATTGTATAAACAGAAACCATCCCTCCAGCATCGGGTACAAACGAGCAGATAGCAAGAAAACGCGGATTGCCGCGGGAGGGAAGACAAGCCCGAATTCAGACGAACAAATCAGCCGACGGTCCGCCAAGGAATCCCAGACATGGACTTCTAACAAACGCAGCACGCAAATCAGCCGAAGAAATCCCTGTAAATCCCATAAACTCTCATGTTTCACGGCATAAAACGCATCCAAACATGCAGAGCAAGGGGCCAGAACATGAACAGCCTCCAATCCGACTAAAAACAGGCGCAATTTCAACGCAAAACATAGCACCAAATCGAGCCAAAAAAAACAGGGACCAAACGCGCCGAGGCCCCGCTCAGAATCATCCAAATCTACAACCAAATCTCCAACAAGCACAACCCGGGCACAGAAATCTTACCGGAAACGAGGGAGGACAGCCAGTCCACGACCTCCCGCCTGGACCGCCACCTCCTCGGAGCGCCGCCGTCCGCCCCAGCAGCCGCCAGGGGCGACCGTGACGGCGACGGCGCGACGGCGAACGCCCCCGCGGCGGCCGCGAGCGCGCGGAGGAACCGCCCCTGCACGGCGTACGACATGTGACGCGGGCTCCTCTCCCGCCCCACCACCGCCAGCTCCTTCGCCTCGCCGTTGCCGCGGAGGTAGTAGTGCACGAGGCGACTGCCGCGGTCGTTGGACACCACCACCTCCTCCCACTGCGTCCACCGCCCCCTCGCCGCCGCCAGGGCCGCCGTCGCTGCCTCGTCCATGGCCGCCGCCGCCGCCGTGGAACGCTAACCCTAGATGGGGCTGGCTTGGGCTCGCGTGTGGTGCGTCTCGCGTCGCGTCGGGAGAGGTGAGACCTCGCACGAGGGAGGGTCAGATTTGGGGAGAGAATAATGTGGGGTGGGCGAGGGAGAGGACGCGGAGGGATTTGGTCTTATCATTCGGGGGAGTGAAGGTACATGGGATTCTGAACGGGAAAAAATTTTAACGGAAGGAAGAAGGGGACTCCAGGTATGGAAGAAATAGTAATATTTGCTGAAAATTTTCCATTTTCCGTGTAAGTTGGGAGGATTAGTTTTGAGGTCGTTTCACCACCTTGGATCGTTGGATCAAGATCTAAAGAACATGGTGCTTTTTTTTTCTTCCATACCGAACCGCGAACACTCGAAAAACCAAACTTAAAATGTGTTGTAACTTTTTTTTTTTTTCTGTTGTACCGAGAAACCGAACTAAAAACGAAGTTTGTAATCACAATTGTAAATCTTATGCGATATTTTTTTGCATCGGTTTATTCGGTTTTAACAAAAAACCGAACTAAAAACCGCGAAATTGGTCGGTTTTTGAAATTTTAGCAAACCGATCGGGGGTCATTTTCTGGAAACCGAATTTTTGAAAAACCGAACAAACCGAACCGAACCGTCGGTAAAAACCGAACGCCCAGGCTGATTCACCACCGTGGATCGTTGGATCAAGATCTAAAGAACATGGTGTTTTCTTCTTCTCTACCGCTCGCCTGTGAAAGGTCTAATATTGCTAGAGAGGTGAAGGTCTAATATTGCTAGAGGAGGTGAATAGACTATTTAAAATTTCTACAAAACACTAGAGCAATTGATTAGTACAATAAACGGCGTAATGCAATTTTGCTCTAACTCTACAAAGGTTGCAAGCCAACTATTCCAACAATTCTAGTTGCTATGATCACTATCACACACAACAAGCTAGGTCACTACTCACTAAGCTAGTGTGCTTTCAAAGACTAACTAAAGAGTCACACTAACCAAACTAACAAGCTCTCAAAGATTAACTACACTAAAGAGCTTGACAACTTGTTTGCGGGAATGTAAATAAGTGAATATGGTGATTATACCGCCGCGTAGAGGAGTGAATCAATCACAAGATGAATACCAATTCAATCACCGGGAGAATACCAAAGGGCAAAAGACGACCAATTTTTCTTCCAAGGTTCACGTGCTTGTCGGCACGCTAGTCCTCGTTGTGTCGATCAACAATTGGTGGTTTGGTGGATAAGAGGTGTTGTACGAACCTTGTCCACACAATTGGACACCGTAAGAACCTACCCACAAGTGAGCAATCCACTAAAGTTACATTTCGGCTCTCTATCGAGGAAGATACAAGACCCCACACAATCACCGGAGCCGGCCACAAACAAATACCAACACGTGCCGAAGCTCCTCCGCTGCTCCAAGTCGTCTAGGTGGCGGCAACCACCAAAGAGTAACAAGAAATCCGCCGCCATAATGATCCTCAAGTGTCACTAGATGCAATCACTCAAGCAAATGCACTAAGAATCACTCACAATCTCACTATGATGATAAATCAATGATGGAGATGAGTGGGAGGTGTTTGCTTAGGCTCACAAGGATGTTATGAATGTCAAAGTGCCAAGAGAGATACATTGAAGCCGACCCCCAACTATATATAGAGCTCCCAAAGAAATAGAGTTACTCATCAAATTTGTGCCGGACGATTTCCGGATTACGACCGACGACCCCAACTATATATAGAGCCACGCCCCCAAAGCTCACCTCAATCGATCGCTCGCGTGTTGTGAGACCCCCAAAGATGTATTAAATATGCCGAAAAAATACATCTTCATGTCACCAACCTGATTGTTGCGAAATTTGCATATGTTATTTCATCACCATCGACGATTTGTTGATTTTTTCTCAGGAGTTCATCGATGAGACTTTTTATATCATGTACAAAGCCCTTCTACATATTTGTATTACAGATCATAATATAAGGACCGTCGCGTGATTGGACCACCTAGTGATGATCGATCTCGGATTTTCAAGAAAGCTCGATCGGGCAACTTCGCCATCAAGACTGACCAGATAACGCCATAAGTTCATGACGACTTAAAGCTCAGTCACGCTTTAATATTTTTCTAAATATTCTCTAATCAGATATCGCCATAATATTTCTCGGTTTGTTTTCTCTATGTTTGCTCTCCAAATGATTTTTCGAACCTACTCATGTTGATGCTCAGATATCCCTAGAAACGCCCGCCTCCGGCCCTACCGACGAGCATTGCTCTCACGTTATGGGTGGTCGGCGGCTCCTTAGTGACGCTTTGTTGTTTCATACGCCACGGCTCAAGGCTCGTGTTATGGTTAACTTTATGCTAGTTTGGGGACTCGGCTACACACTAATCGGTCGGTTTATATTAAATATAAATACATCTTCACACCAACTGATTGCCGAGCTGCATATGTTATTTCATCACCATTGTTGATTTTTCTCCGGAGTTCATATATTTTTACATCATGTACTATCCGTTCTACATATTTGTATTGCGGGATCATCATCCGGTGATTGGACCACCAGTGCTCGGACTTCCCCCGATCACCTGGTCGGACCGCTAAGTTCATGGACTTCATCACGACCGCTTGATCGGACTCCTCGGTGCTTCTACTCAATGCTCACTTCACCGTCGATTGCTAGTTCGCCGTCGTCGGCTTCATCGACTACATTGGGGACTCCTCGTCGCTGCTCGGACATCGCCACCGCCGGTTACCGAGGATTCTACTTTGGGGACTCGGGCACACATCGCCCACTTCACCTTGCGGATATCGCCACGGGGAACTCCTTGGTGCTGGACATCCTTGATGGGGGACTCCTCGGTTTTCGATATCGCCATCGGTGTGCTATCAAGCGGACATCGCTCTGTTGGGAACTCCTTGGTGCTCGGCTCCCTTGATGGTCGATCTTGCTCTCGTCTCATCGGTGCTATCAAGCTTTCCATCCATCTCGATCTGGGGCCGATCTTGATAGTCTCTTGATACGTTAGATGATAGCGTCGGCAAGCTTTCAGACTTCTTTTTATTTGACCCTGCTACAAGATTCATTCTTCATCTTCCAGCAGGCTCGGGGACTAAGTGGACATACTTCACCTTGCGGTGAATGTGCGCTTTTCAATTTAGGGCTTCACCCGTGGACTGGTTGCCTGCTTGACCGGTCTTCTACCTTTCTTCTACTTTCTGACCCTGGCACCACGTGACTACGTCACCTACTGTCAGGCTCGGGGACTAGCTGTGGGGGTATGGCCTCCGGTATCCACAAGACAAGACATGGGCCGCACCCTCAGAGGTGGCCCAACCCACAAGACCAAGGTGTGCACGGTACTGTTTGACGTGCACCGCAAGATATTGTATAATACCAAATATGATACTTTTCTTGTAACCCTACCCCTCCAGAGTATATAAGGAGAGATAGGGGTTCCCTAGTCGACATCTTCATAGATCGACAGACATCTACATGGTCATTCAGATCAATACAATACACAAAAAGATACAGGACGTAGGATATTACGTCGATCAGACGGACCAAACATGTCTAAATCGCTGTCTCTGCGCCTTGTATCACCATCCGGTTTCTGATCACGCGCACCTCCACCGATCAATCTATGTTCATAGGATATCCCTCGGAGAACTGCCGAGCATCTTTTGTCGATATAAGTGAGGCAACCTACTACATATAGCCACATCCCCTTCAAAGAGCCGTTGTAAGAAGTCTTTCAGTTTTTAGTCAACTCAAACACTTACCTAAAATCCATATCCAAACAAATCCTTCTATTTTCCTTTGGTCAAACCAGAATCCCGTCTCCAAAAAAATTAGCGAACAACAAATCTACTTGGTCTCAAATCTAGTTAGCCTTAGATGCACTAAAAAGAATCCCATCTTAACCAAAACTCTGATATTTAGTCAGACGGTCCATGTGTCGATGAGTTCAGCCGACAGCATTGAGAACGTAGAGCTAACCATGGCTATGGCCACGGGAATTGAAAAAAACGTAACGCATTGGAAAATATACGTGGATCACATCATTACCAGATTAGTAGTACGGAGTATATCTGCAAAGATGCACCGCGCCGCATGCAGAACGTCACTTGATAAAGACGATGAGGTCACGGGCGATTAATGAAGATCCTACTCCACACGAGTTTAGTGGCGTGGCACGATCACCTCACTACCACGCCTGCATTAGCACAACCATTATCTTATTTTTTTTCTCTTTTTTTTCAGAGAAGGCTGAGAAGTGTGATCTCGTGCTCGTCGAATTGAGTGGACCATCTCGGTTGGTAGGTACTGTACTCCTACATCCTTCCAAGTTGCAATGACGGGCTCACCGCAGGTTACGGCAGCGCAGAGTGGCGCGGCGCAGGAGATCCTGCGCGGCCGGCCGGCCGCCCCCTCCATCGGATGGAACGGATGCGCTCGGGCAAAAAACGCAAAAGGCCATTTTTTTTAGAAAAATGTAAAATGCCCGCACGTCCCAAACAACACGATGCAAGCCGAAAGAAAAAAAAAAAAGAGGAAAGAAGACACGATCGGCCCGGCGTAATGATCACCCAGCGACAAAGTCGCCGCCGTCGCAGCTGGATCCAGCTCACCCACCCACCGCCTTCCCATATCCCATCCCACAACGGCCAAAAAAAGAAAACGCCACGCACGCCCTAGTTGGCCACTTCACACGCGCAGCATCCCCACCGGAGGGCAACGGACAGGTGGGTCCAGAGACAACAGGGCCCCGCGGCTCAGCCGGTGGGCGCGAGGATCTAGGTGGTGGCAGGCGGAGCGGGTCGGAGCGGAGGGCGCGATGCGATGAGGAGGAATCAGGCCGGCTTTTCTTCGTCTCGGGGGGACGAGGCCGAGAGGGGAGGGAAGCGCTGAGAGCGTTCGCGACGCCGCGAGGCTTCCCGTTGCTCCGTCTGTTTGACCGGGTGGGTGAAGGTTACCTGCG